TATGAGGTCTTGCAAGAATGTTTCGGCGAATGGACGAAACAAATCAACCCCTGGAAACACAAGTTCAATCAAGTTATGTTCAACATTGACCTTTGGGGGTCAGGGGTTGGCGACAGTTATTGATACATGGGTTTGAATATTTGGTCCATCTACTGTAGTAGTATCCTTGTTACTAAGTACAAACTTCAGGACCGAGTCGTAGTATCTTCAGGTCTTCCGAGTCTTTCGCCGTTCTTCCAAGTCGAAAGTCAAAGAGGACTTGCTAAACCCACAACCCCATCCGAGGGTTTGAGGTGTTTAAATGTTTTTAATCTCGAATCTTCCACTTCTAACTCGAACACTTCAAGGCTACCCACCTCAGTTTGGTATTCTTCAGACCCTTTTTTGACAATTCGCTTAAAGAATGTTTAAAATGAAATAGACTAACTCTGATTCTTGCATGTGGCCATAGACTACTCTGTTTGGAAGGAGCTCGATGGCCATGCCATATCACAGGCGCTGGATGCGCTCAATGCACTGAGCCTTTGGAACGTGTGATGAGGGCTGTACGGAAACAAACTCCAACTAGTAGCTTCTCTAGCTACTAGTAGCAAGGGCATTCTTAGGTTGGAGGCCATCGCTAGTAGTAACAAGCTACTAGTAGCAATGCACCTTGCTACTTTGCTCAGATGTGGACACCATTTTGGAGAACAAAGAGCCAACAGGGTTAGAACATAGGAACGGGAAGGGGTATTTTAGACCAATCACAAGACCTTTTTGTTTTTTCTTTCTTTTCTATTTGATCATATTCTTTATTCTTAAAGCATCGTTAAAGCCTTAAAACATTTTTTGTTCAGCTCCTTCTCTCCAAAAAGCCATTCGCATCCCGCAGATACCGAGAGATGTCTGGAGCTATCCAAACGTGAGTCACGTCACCGAGGCACGGTGAGAACCTCGTGGTTCTCAAGTAAAAGGGCATCGCTACTAGGAGCAAGGACGCGACTAGAGCCTCCTGGCCTTACTACTAGTAACAAGAAACTACTAGTAACAAGGGCATTGCTATTAGTAGCTTTTTGCTACTTAGTAAGAATGCTACTAATAGGAGCGATGCCAGGAGCCCCTAGTAGCGTCCTTGCTCCTAGTAGTAAGGCCAGGAGCCCCTAGTAGCTTCTTGTTCCTAATCGTTTCTTTCGTATTATTATCAGCTTTCAAGTTTCTCTAGAAATCTAGGAACCAAATCGCTTCTAGCTTGGAAGCCATTCCTATTAGGTTGGAGGCCATCGCTATTAGTTTCTCAAAACATCTATAGGAACCAAATCATTAGTGCGCTTCTTCAAGGAAGCTCCCCCGGGAAGCTTCCTTGAAGAAGCGTGAGCTATCCTGCATCCGCTTTCTTCAACCTTTAGTAGCTAGTAGCGAACTGCTCCCTTACTTAATTAGTAGGCGCCTACTTAATACGGAGGCAGGGCCACGGGCTAGAAAAATTACAAACAAGAATAAGAGACACATTTTTGTAGATAGTAGCTGCAGCTAGTTACTTCTTTCCTTAATTAAGTAAGAGCGGCCAAAAAAAGACAATGTTTCTAGTAGCTTCTTGTTACTACTAGTAAGGCACTTGTTACTAGTAGCGATGCACTTGTTACTAGTAGCTTCTTGTTACTAGTAGCGTGTTTTTTGAGAACTCGAAAGCACGACTGGGAGACGAACGAGTTCCGCTGAGGGCTCTGAGATGGAAGAAGCCCTTGCCGAGATCCGGAGGAGGGAAGATGACCGGAAGAGAGGACTTAACATGACTTAAATACTGCAAATTCTGTTCATTGTATTCTTTTTCTTCTAGGTTTTCATGATTCACTTTCTTTAGTATTGTTTTGTATTTGATAGTATTTTTATGTCTTTCTTGAGACCTGTACACTGACTGTAGACCTTTCAATCTTCCTTTTTCTGTCTTTTCTTTCCAAAATTCTAGGCCGCTTAGCTTTTGATTTGCTTGTGTCTTCATACCTTTGTTTTGGGCTTGGCTACCACTTGCTTGCGATTTAGACAAGAACGACTTCTTTTCTGTGTTTCTTAA